TAAACAGTTTAACAGTTTTAAAAATGAAACGTATTATAGAGAGTACATTGTTAACATTATGTATTTATTGACAGACCCATTTTCAAGATAAAATAATTTGTAAAAGATCAATTTTCATTATAAAATGTTCTGTAAAATGTTTGTTTTCATGAAAAATATTTTGTGAAAGGTCCATTTTCACGATAAAATATTTTGTAAAATGTTTTCATGAAAAATATTTTGTGAAAGGTCCATTTTCAGGATAAAATGTTTTGTAAAATGTTTGCTTTCGTGAAAAATATTTTGTGAAAGGTCCATTTTCATGATAAAATCTGTCTTGAAAGATCTATTTTCACGATAAAATATTTTGTGAAATGTCCGTTGTCTCGATAAAATTTATTAATGACCCCAAATTATTTTTTTAAAACTAATGATATTCAAAATTTAAGTTACTTATTTGAAAACAAGTTGTTTTTCATTCTCACAGAACTATCAAATCTACATTTTTCGCTAAATAAATCAATTGCGTTTTTTTGATCTAAAAAGAAAGTTATCGGGGAACGAATTTGAAAGTTAAACGCAGTTTTTTTTTTCTTGGGTTTTAAAAAAAAAAGAAAAAAAAAACTATTTTGGGAACATTCGTTACAAGTACTTTATATTTTAAGATTCGTTTAGTAAATCAAATTGCGTTCATGCATCACTGATTTCGAGTTAGTATAAGGAAACGTCATGAAGGTAACTTTTTTTCATACTATCTTTCCCTTTCAGAAGCGTAATTGTCTAAATTGAATTTCACAACATTATGTTAAGTAGTCAGATCATGCCGCAAGTTCGTTAAACGTTTTTTTAGTGCATTAATGATTAAAAAAAATTCGCAGTTTGATACAATTCTATCACGTTTTTCGGATTTTTTTAAGTGTTTAGTAATTTTTTTTTTTTCCAAGTAAGAACTGCATTTTTCAATTTATAGTCACATTTACCGATATTTATAACTAGCTATCACTGTTTTATTTGTTTTGAATAAAAGCAAAACATAAAATGCAGTGATTCTATTTCAACATTCAATTAAAGTTAGCTAATCTTGGTTTTCAAAAAAAAAAATAAATAAATAAAAAAAACTGGCAATTTTAACGTATGAGTAGTTATTTCAAAATAATTTTTTTAGCATTGAAATTTTTAAATGAATTTACTGATTTTTGATATTTATAGCCACTTTGACTAAAGTGTCAGTCAAATGCTAAAGAAAAAACATATTTGTTTTTAATTGCAAAATTTAATGATTTTCTGAAAGGATATTTGTCTGGAAAGCTAATGATTATAAATTTTGTATGATTAATCTATAAGGATGGTATTTACAGAGCACTTACGACTTTTTTCTTGATGCTCTCTCGTAATTTTTTCAGGTCATTCATTGTTGAAACAGACGTAAACAAAACTGGCTAGGTATAGTTTGTCTACGGTAAGAACTCCCCCTCCCCACAAAATCTAGGCCTAACACAATAGATCGAAGAAAGAGTTTCCCTTTCTCTCGTCGAACAGACCGATCCAAAACCGGCCTGAGCAATGGCTCTACACCCCTATTTGAAATATAGTTATACCTCGTCACCATAGTCATCGCCACGGGTCCAAGCGAATTGCTAGGGTAGTTCTTACTTTAGACAAACTATAAGTGGAATTTTTTTGAGGAGAAAAAAAAAGACATTTATATAGTAGCTATAGGAAAATAGGCTCTTTTTCTTGTGTGATTAACGCAAAATTAAAATAAAACATAGCATGCCAAGCGGAAAAACTTTATTTTTAACATCACTGAAGTAAAATATCAGTAATAAATAAAAACTAAAATATATACCTTAAATGTATAAAATAAAGAGAATTTTTGAACTCGTCTTTTTACGTAATGCACTCATAACATCTACTGTGATGCATTTTCTAACTGTTAAACTGCTGTTTCCAACTGTTAATTGAATATTATAATCATTTTAGCGAAATGGTCGAATTTTACTTTATGTAAATATCCTTTTTATAGGCAATTTTTGGCACAAGGACACTAGTTAATGCCATTTTTCTATATAGCCTTGAAATTTTGAATACGTTTTTCTCATAATATAGATTATTTTTTCTTCATTTTAGTAGAAAATTATTCATTCAACTCTTGTACTAAAAATCAATCCAGATTAAGAAAATAGATTAATAATTTTTATTTTATTTTAATTCTTTTGTTAGAGGGACCGGAAAGTAATGTCGTTTCGGTGCATTTGAGATTTGTTATCAAGATTTTATTTTTTAATCAATAATGTATTCACCCTCGTTAGCAGCAACCTCTCAATGCCGGATCGAAAATTAATCAAAATGAATCGAAAAAAATTAATTAAGACTAGTTAATATTTAATGCGCCGAAATGACATTGCTTTCCGGTCCTCCTAATAAAAGTTGCTGCCACTGTAGTTTGCAACCGCCAAATGCTGATAATAATTATAATGGTATTCAAAATGAAGGGTTTCAATACCTGAGTTTCAAAATCCTTTCATTTCCCGTGGAAGTAAGCTTATTCTGAATTCGTTAATAAATTGGTTATTAGTTTGATTCCAGTTTCCGTTCAATGTTCTTTTCAAAGTTTGTCTCGTAAGGCAGGAAATTCGTGGGATATCAGTTATGTAATAATTTTAGCTTTTCTATCTTTTTAACATCACCGACTTCACGCAGACTATTCATAAACAATCGTCTTTTAAATATTAAGAAATCGTTATGTTTAAAACATTTATTTCGTTCATAACGCAAGATCTAGACTGCTCAATATCAAGTGGTTGTTTTATTATTTGCAATGAATCGCAAAGTAAACATTGGTGGCCGTTAAAGGTTATTTTAAGTGACATTCTTTTAAAAAATCTCGGCTCACAAAATATTAAATTTACATAATCTCCCTTGTGTAACAGTGTATATGGGTTCCCAGGCAAAAGGCATGAGACGTGAGTTGAGTTGTTCAGTGTCTAACTATTGAGTTGTTCAGCTCCTGGATAATGTGTTGTTCAGTACCTTAATGTTGATTTGTTTCGTCGTGTGTCGTTCACTAGTTGAGCATTTTCAAATAACTTCTTCCCACTCATTGTTTTTTTTCCACACCTAATTCTCGCACATTATGGTAAATATACTTTATATCCTGTAATGAACAGCCGACGCGATTTTGGGTTTACGACTACTAAGGTTCAATTCCGTTGCCTTGTAATTTTAAACCAATCCAGAAGACAAGGAAACTCCTGGATCAGTTCCCCCAGAAGTATTGATCTGTTATGAGAACATGGAGGACTTCGACAGATTTAACGTGCATCAGTCACCAATTACGACACGGGGAGTCTTCGACCGGCGGGGATCGAACCCACAAACTCTTGGACACGGGCTCAAGTGCCCTACCAGTCAGTCTATCCCGGCCTACATGGTAAATATATTGATACATTTCTGTTTCCCCATCGTCAAGGAATATTATCTGCTACACCAAATATCACCAAATTTTAGAAATTAATAAATTTAGAAGTGCCTTTTTCTCAATAATAAAAAATAAAGTTTGATATTGTAGCAAGGAAGATTTAAGTGTCATGGTCTGAGGCAGAATTATCGCCAAGTCTGGGCAACATCCAGGCAACAGCCCGCGAGAAACATTCCAAAGGGCGATCAATTTGAAGGGAATAATTCGTAGCCACCAACAAGAAGTCCTATTCATGTTTTTTTTTTTTAAATTTAAAATACATTTGGCGCCTTGTGGATTGTAATTGGCGGACAGATCTGGAAATATCCCCTTGAACCATACTATCCGTACTTTGAAGCATAATGCAATGCATATCCGCTGCAACCTTAAAAAAGTTAATTTTAACCAGACTATCCTGTAATCAGCTTTAAAAAGTTGGTTATGCTTTATAAGTTGGTAGCTTTAATAATATGGTTCAACTTAGCAAGCACCATATAAAATTGCATGAAATTCGAACCAATTATGATTCAAGGCGCTACAAGATTTTTAACAGCGAATATTTTCGGAAAATCGAGGAAAAATTCAAAAAATCAGATAAAAATTAAAATTCTTTAAAATCAAATAGGCGAAGGAATATATTTATATACTGATACATTTTCATTTTATTTTTAATATGCAATTTAATTTTTTTTCTTCAGGAGTTATATAAATATCCCGTAAACTAACGCTTAAATGAGATTTACATGTGATGTCTGAATGTGATTCGAGATCTATCCATTGTTAAGTCAAAATCTTAATCATTTTCCCTTCTTGCACGATTTGTTTTCTAAAACCGGACTAAAGAATATTTCTCGAGTTCTTGGGAGGAAAAAGACCTTTCTACTTGAACTTTCGTTCTAAGTTCATTCTCTTACAGTTCTTAAAAAGAAAAGCTTTAACGTGTCATTCTTGTCTGTGAGGGGTTAGTCTTGAGTAACGCTGTCAAAAAGAAAAATTATCGGGGTGTTACAGTTGCATAGAACCTGTGAAAGATGAGATATAATTGGAATGCAGATTTTTTTCTTTCTTTCCTTAATGTCATTTCAACGATATAAATTTTATTTATTTTATTTTTAAAAAAAATGCTATGGATCAGGAGTACTCAATTATGAATAACACAACGTGCATAGATTTTTAAAAGTTAGAAGAAAAAAAAATTACTTTAGACTTAAAATTATTTTAAAGTTTTCTCCCTACAAAATAATGTCTATATTATTTATTTATGGCTATGGTTTTGAATACACCCATATTTTCGTCATAGTGAAGTCCTCGATTGACTTAAAATAATTGGATATTCTATATTCGTCGCTCTTAATATATATATATCTTAGAACGTTTGTTAAAATTGAAATCATTAAAGCCCATGTGCGGCTTTGAGGAGAACTCCTTCAGACTAAAAGTCTGGGGCTGTCTGCCGCTATGGTAACAAGCGAGAGCACATTTCTAATGGGGGTGAAATGGAGGAAAGAAGGTGTCGATTGGTTTACTCACTACGACCTACGCTAAGATTAAGACAAAACTATTCACCCCACACCCGAAGTGAACTTTCCTCGTAACCATAGTAACCGCCACGACGCGAGACGGGTGTCTGGAGGAGTTCTCCTGAAAGCCGCACGCATCAAGGGATCAAAAACAAATACAGTGTACACGCAGGTACTTATTTTAACCTACCATTTCTAAAAGTTGTTAGAAGCACTAATATGCTGTCGGCATTCCTTAGAATGTGGTTATTTTTTCTTAAAAGGGAAAAGAAAAAAGATCACAGTGAATTTTATCATCTGATTTCATTTTAGCTCCAACTCACCGATAAAAGTGCGTTTAAACAAAAAGCACAGCTTACTTTGAAAGTTTTTGAGTTTTAAATTTTTTTATAATTTAAAGAGAAAAAAAAACTGATATTGAATTCATTACATAGTTCTTATGAGTAACTAAACAGTAAAGGTATTTTACTTGGTTGAAAGTCATCTATAGTATTGAGAAACATGTATTTTATAAGTCGTTATAAAGTCTGAGAAGGTATTTATTTTTATTTTTAACAGAGTAAGAACTGTATTATTTAAACAAGGAAATCAAAATCTAGGGAATCATTATTGAGATCATTTACTGTAAGGTGAAATAAAAATATCAAAACTTAATTTAACTGTCGGATAAAACTGGGTCGTTAGTATTTTTTCCTTTAACTATTTTTCTGGTATTAAATAATATTTTTTAATAATTTTTTATGGTAAACAGCAAGAATTCCACTGTCCTTTAATATATTTTTACCCATCTGGAATAACTTAGACATTTCTTTTAATCTAAATCATGTTTCAGTAATTAAGACAACTTTGCTCGAAGCTGTCATTTTCGTAATGGCACGTTTTGCAGGTCCTCATTAAGTATTCCGCTTAATTTATACAGTGCTTAATCGAAAAACTCGCTCATTTAAACTTGCATCTATTGCTTGATAAGGCATATGATTTGAATAATTCTTAATCAAAAATAATCATCAAGTGACCTGTGGTTAACGGTAACAAGCATTTCAAAAGGTAAGTCAAGCATGTTCTTGCATAAGCCTTGTTCGACCTCGTTGGTCAGCTGACCAATCAGCCAGTTGGAGCTACTTTCCTTGTACTTAATGAAGGTAAGTCCAGACATCATAAATTATTAATCTTCATTTGCAAACTTATTTGGATATGGTTTACATTTCACTTTCGACTAAACGGATTTCTTGAACTTGCCCCTCTAACAGCTTTCTGCTTCTAGAAAATGTTTTGACCCGTTTTGTTTTTAAATCCTAATTATAATCTTAGTAATGTGCAGCTTAGAAAGAATTAAACTCAAATGTAATAAAAAATTTATTTTTAAATTCAATTAGATTCAATAGAGAATCGCTTTGTAAAGACATACGAATAAAAAAATATGTATAAATTAATTGATTATATTGATTTTGTAAATTAAAGAAATTTCAATGATGATTAACTGTTTCTCTTAGACTGCAAATAAGTGCGAATTTTAAAAATTATTATTTGGAAATGAGCCGTGTTTGGAGGATTTTACATTTAACACAGGTAAAGACACCGATGTGTTATGTTGTATTTCATAACCATAAATTATTAAATTGCTTAATATAATATTTCATTTAATTTGACCTAAATTAATAGAAAATAAAAAAAAATATATGAAGAATTTGTTTAATTAAACATCTACGTCAGAGGGTTGAGCATAGTTTTGTTATGCCTTGTACATAACTGAGGGCCAAAAAAAAGTGTATGAAGCTTTGTTTTCTGTCTTAGACGTCAAAAATTTGACTTTGACGTAAAGAGCTTAATGTAAATTTCCTGATATAGTCTTTAGCTAGTTCTCCGGTAAGGTAATTGATAAGCTATATTAAATATAATATTAAGCAGTAAAACTATGTTCTTCAGTTATTTCCTCATGTAATATAAGTTAATGATTGTTGAACAGCCTATTTCTTAGTAATTTTGGTGTCATTATTTTATCTAACAATGTAAACGCTAATTTGCAATGTGCCATATCCAATGAGTTTGTCAACTTATTTTAACAATAGTCAAGAAAACTGCATATTAATTTCTACAAAGAGCCTATTTCTATTGGCTCAATCATGATAAGAGATTAAGGTATAAGATAATATTGTATGAAAGCAAAATAGTTAGACCTTGAGTAAATAGTTAATTCCTTTGTGGTTTCTGTTTGAATTATTTACGCGTGCGACAAATATTATTTAAATGTATGTAAATATACAAGAAATGAGGTTTTCCTATTCTCAGAGTAATGCGTCATTTTTCAAGTTGCGATTTTGTGACCTCAATGACTGCACAACAACATACTGAGTTGGAAAAAATAATTATTTATTAAAAATTTAAGATGATATTTTTAAACATTTTCGCCTAGGAAAATAAAAAAAGCCATACTTTAACTGCTTTACATTTGAAGTGCAAATCTATAATTTCAAACTACTTATGCCATCAGGCCGTGAAGAATTATCTGGGCTTTAGAACGAACATATAATTTAAATATTTTAAAATTCGCTGATTAGGCCTAGATGAAAATAATCAAAATTAATGTTTTATTCCTAAGTTTCAAATTTTCATGAGCCTAGTTAATACTGCATTGGAGCAAGTTTTTAAATATTAAAAAATTAGACCACAAACTCTTCATTTTCTCAACAATTTGGCTTTTCTCTATATCGATGTTTTGCTCCATTTTCAGAATTAGCATTGGAGCACTGGCTAATGATAGGCTAAAGTAGACTTAACAGTAATGAGTAACTGTTTCAAACTCACAACAGTTATGAAAACAGCATATTATTAGCAAAAAGTATTATTTCATGCGACAACAAAAAGCTTCCGTCATTTTAGGAAACATTTGTGTCCCTTAACGGACTATTTTATTGTAAAAATGGACATTTCACAAGATTGTTTATTGTAAAAATGGACTCTTCTTGTGAAAATCAATGTCAATGACTTTTTTAATTAATAATTTTATCCTCTAAAATCATGCTTTTTGTGGTTTCTTTCACAAAAACAAGCATTATTTTTCTGATATTCACAAAGTTATTAGTAGATTTTCCGAATTTTCACAAAAAGTCTGAGCAGATCCCAGTAAGAGTTTATTTTCACTGATGTACAAAATTATGAATGAAATTTTCTCAATTTTATATAAAAAAACCTTTCACTCAGAACATTGGTAATCAAGATCAAAATTCACTGTAAAAAAAATGTTTCTTTGATTTTTTTTTAAAGTTTTTATCGAGATTTTTGTTTACCCTTCAGTTTTCTTGACAAATTTTAAAGTATTTATACAATATTCATGTACCATTGTTAAATTTCATTTCATTCATCTTATGTTGAGTTTTAAGAAATCTGAAATATTTTCCTTCATTACTCAGTTGGCGCATTTTCCATTCGTCTTGAAAAATCGATCATGCTGGCATAACACTTATCTTTTGGAACAGAATGAAACTTCCTGGAAGTGAAGACTCGCCAATTTATGTGTTTTCGAACTCTATTTATGCTTCAAATGGCGTGCGTTGTCTGACATTTGTTACGGAAATATTTTCCGGAACAATAGGAAACAGAAAACACTGCTCCTGCTTGACTATCTTTCCTTCTTGACAGACATAGTTTATGGACAGTTGAAGAATTCCTCATTCGATTTAGTTCTAGAAAAATCTTGTGTTAAATCAATTTAAACATTGTTTTATGTTTCAAGAGAGAGAGATGGCACTGTTGAACCAGAAGTTATATTCAAATATTCTCTAGCCTGTTGAAATATGAATTTTGTTTTTGTAACTTAAAAATATCATTGTTTTAAGCTCTTCGATTTTCCTTAAATTATGCTGAGTGTTTAAAGAAACAGGTTTGGTTAGAATTATTCTGCACGTTACAGATTAGGAGCTGTTTTATAAATTTTAGTTTAAAGTGTGCCATTTTTTATGACCTACGCCATTTTTAAAGTTTACTTTGAAAGACAGCGTGTTCCAAAAAGACTTTATGTATTCTTGGAATCCTAATAGATAATAGTGTATATTCTTGGCCTGGAGGTAGCAAATTAGTAATTAACCGAGGAAGAAAACCAAAACTCTATCGAAATCTGAAAAGTCACGGTACAGGAGGGTGAAATGTAATAAACTTCAAGACAGATTGGATTGCTGAAAGAAAAAGAGGTGTTGAAGCACTATTATTAGAAACATCTCCAAATTCCAACCTGTTTTATTGTTCATTACATTCGCTTTCCTCTATTGTACTTTTTCAGATTTTGATAGCGCTTTTGATTTTTCTTGCTTAAATATTACCAATTTGTATACTTTTTTGTTTTCATTTTTGATAAGGGTTCTGAAAATACATACTAAGGGTAGTCTTTACCGAACACCATGTATATCTTTGTGCATGGTTATCGACTGACATTGAGAGTTAGAAAATCGTTGTTATAGTTAATTTTCATAGTTTTTTTTTTGTTTTAAAGATTTAAAACTAAATTTGATGTTTTTTGATGTTGAAATTGTTTCCTCCTCAATATTTTTATTTAAACAATGTTAATATTGTTTGTTTTGAGCAAAACTGTGAATTTTTTAAAAATAAACCCTCTCTTGTACCTGAATAATATATTCAAGTTTACTCTTGATTTATCAGACGGGGACTATAAAATAACTATTTAATTTTCTGTAGTAGGTCCCAAATATAATTTTTTTGTGAAAAATGCTATGTTTACACAATAGGGCGTTACAAATTAATATTAAAGCGAGGAAAAAAGAACAGTACAAAAAACTGATTTATCACTACTAAGGAAAAAGAGTGAAAATGGTAAGAGTTTGAAAATGATAGTTAGAAATACGAGTTTTATCAGGTAAACTTGTTTTGGCGCTTTTCCAACCGCCTTCCTCATTAGTGATTTATTAGATTTTGTCCAGCTTTTTTTTTATTTTTATTTATTTATTTATTTTTTTGTTTGAATTTAAATTTTACCCCTAATGCTAATGACTAGGTAAGGGTAGTTATTACGGAATGCATTGCATTTAGTGATTTTTTAAAAGTCAAATGCGAATTACTGAATGATAAACTACTAAGGTTGCTACTTTTGTTTTTACAGTGCCATATCTGGAAAACAGTTTTAAATGCAAGGTATTTTATTGTATATTGGATAATGTAAATATGAAATTATAAATTATGTATCATACAAAATGTGTACATACCTAAAGACCTTTTATGATGTATAAAAAATAGTATAAATAAATACTTTATTTTGTATTTTAGTTTAGTTATTTTTGTGTTTTCTTCTAATTTGACAACTATTACATATTTATCGTTTTGATAGATTTTATTTGTTTATTTGTTTTATTGTTTTATAAAACTTAGATTTTAGTGAAGAATTTAATATTGTTTGTTAAATATTGGAATAATATTTAGATTTATAAATCAACTTAGCTTAAACCTTTAGGGTGTTTATAAATTCACAAAAACAAAATACGACGAATACATCAATTTAGAGCATATATTATCGCCACTCTTAATTAAACTGGATCAGTGACATTGGCACTCTACATTTAAATCTACATTCAAACTAATCATTGAAATCTATATTCAAATATGGATTCTACATAAAACTCAAATAATCTACATAAATTATACTGAACACATAGCTTGTTAAGTTTTCTCAACTTTTAATCGGCGCGATCTGTAATTTTTACCATTCAATTAAACGCTGTAGAAGAAGCGAGTGGAATTATATTTCATTTCCACGAAATCTCTATCAGATCTTGCAAACGATAAACCCTACTTAATCAACCCACATTCGCCTAAGCATAGTTCCAAGAAGGTTGTTGCCTTACTGACACCTGCAAGTTGAATCTAATTACTCTTATAAACTTACCCTGTACCTTTGCTCTTTATCTTAATCCTCAATAACTAACTGAAAGAATTAAAAAAGTGGAAAACATACAAAGATTGTTCTAAAGTTTATAAAATTTTATTTAATCTTGCCTTTTTATTTCTTTGTGCTTAACGGTAGCACTAAGTTTTAGCGTAGAATAAATTATGCATCAAAATATGCTCTTTTTTTTTGTTTTTTTTTACACCTCTTTGCAATAGTAGCTTATCAATTAGTAAGCAATAAAAACTATAATATAAAACTTTGTATTTGAAAAATCTTTGCAACGCTTAGGAAAAGGGAAACCAATTTTAATCTACGTTCCCGGAAAAATATGAAAAATTGTCCGTTAAACCGGATTACGACAGCATACCTCGAAAAAATTTAACAATTTGTTTGAAATTTAAATCCCTTAAAAAATATAAATGCAGATATTTTGTCTGTATCATTCGATACTTTATTTAATAGCTGGAATAATTAATTAGTTCTTGGTGTTCTTTTTTTTCTTTTTCAATTGTCTATTTGTGTTAACATTTCTCATTTTGCCCAATTCAAACAGCGTGAATGTTGTACATAGCCAGCAGTTATCCAAAGTGAGGAGCATTTTTTGTACCGAAACGCAGTCTATGACGATGACAGAGGATCTAAGTACATTTCTAAATCAACCCATCTAATGAGATTTTTTCTTATTTATTATTAACAAAATGCATAAGGGTTTTGAGAAAGATTTCGTGTAGTAAAGCCTGAGTAGCAAACGGAGTTATTACAAATTCATAAAATTTTGCTTAACGTTTTTCGAAAATGAAAAGCGCTTGTGTTAATTTTTTTGAATAATCTATCTTAAAAGTAAATCCACAATTGCATTGTTTGATATCGTAAAATATGTAAAAAATTAGATTTAGTAATGGATATTTGAAATTTTTCTCTTCCTTCAAATTCTTGTCAAATTGGCAATTTTCAATAGATTTATTTTAAATATTTGATACATTTGACCTTACGTAAAACCGTTTAAAATTAAAACTGTGCATTTAGTTTTAAGCTCTCAAACTGCAACTTTTCTACCCCCTTGGCGTTGCATCGAAAACATTCTTTAAGGTTAATTTTTCGAAGAGTGATTTCTAATTTTTAATCGAGAAAGTTTTTCTTTTATCAGCACATTTTTTTTTAACTATTGATAATATTGAAAAGGAGTTCTTTTTTGAAAAATAATTCTGGCTTACTTGCCCCATTGTAGTCTTTTTGAGTTGGACATCTTGTTCCATCAGTATCCAAAACGGTAACTGATGATAACAAAATAAACTATGATTGGAAGCAACGTAAAATAATACAATACTTAAGACAATGATTAAGTAATGCTTATAATTCTTACGACACTTTTTCTTATCTCTACTTAAGTTATTATCCTCATGAAATGATGAATAAATCTTCACAAATATGTGATTTTTTCAAAGTTATACCGTCATGACAGTCTTACAAGTGTTGCCAACCATTCAAATAAAAGGAAGGAAGTTCAAAAGCCTCAAATCTTATGTTAAATAGAATCTATTTAGACCAATAGTCTACTTGGATTGTCAGATGGGACGTATATGTCCTATCAGACCTGACCAAAACCTGATAGCATATACATGTCCCATCAGGTTTGAAAGTGTTGAAGTTTTAATTAATTTCTTCAATTACGACACTATAGTTATCTTCCGTATTTCTTGCCAATTCCGCCACCAATTATTTATCCCATTTTCTTTGTTTACTCGTTTTTATTACTCATACTGTTACAAACATTTGATAAGCGTATCTCAGTGTATGAAATAGAAAAATATAAATCGATTCTTCAGGAAATTAAGATTTTTAAAATAATACTGAGAATCAAATATTTCTTTCAATAGTATTGGTAAATTATTCTTTCATTTTATTTTAAACATTTTATTTCTAGAACTAACTTAATGAGTAGATGTAGCTCATACTTTCAGGATGTTTTTATCACTACTTGAATCACAATAAATCGATTTTTCAAGAAATAAAGATTTTTAAAATAATACTGCAATTAAAGTATGATTTTCGATAGTTATTCTTTTATTCATTTTGTTTTAAAAAATTATTTCTCTCTTAACGAGTAGATGTATCTCGTGCTTTCAGGATGTTTTTACCACTTGTTGCTTCACAAGCGAGAGCAGCCGTTCCTATCTTTTTGTTAGTTTTTCCGAAGATTACAGATAAGAATGACATCTGTGAATCTTATTTGAGTTACTTCGGAAATCGTTTTAAAAGTTGTCTGTAGTTGAAAGATAAAACGGGTATTGTAATCTTTAGATTAAAATTCACTTTTTCCTGTAAGAAAAAGAAGAAGAAAAAATCCCACGCCTAAACGATTGGGTGTGGTTAGACCACTTATTCAGACTTAATGAAAAATGGGAGTTGTTTACTGTCCTGCAAATGACCGAATATTACCATCTTGTCTAGAATAATGAATTTTTTTTTGTTTAGAGCAATTAAAAATTTCATTTTGTTCCGAAATACACGTAGTGAAAGCCTTTGATAGATTTGATAATGTATAATGAAAGTTTAATAAGATTTTTAAATGTGATAGTGTTGCTTATTGAAAGGAAAGCAATGAAACCTGTATCAGTTTTTTACATTAAAAAGAAATACTAAGTTATGAAGTATACTATTGAAGCTGTTTTGCCAAGAAAAATAAAAAGTCAAAGGTTAAATATTTCACACTCGAAGTAAAGCTTTGATTTTATACTATTTATATGCATTTTATTGTGAAGAATTTTTATTTACCTATATTCTCAAAATTCTGAGTAGATTTTTCACAATTTCACAGAAGCGGAAATTTACGAAACTATTCCTGAAGTGTAAATCTCGGTAACTTGTAAAAGTAGCTATCTAAAAACAATACTAAAGAATAGTTAGATGTAAACGATGCCGCAGTTAAAAATCTGGTTTATTGGATCTTATTAATTTAATGTAAGAAAAATTGCTCAACTTTTTCTCTTATATTAAATTTATTATTGCATATGGAGATTATATATCGGTAGAGCAAAATACCTTTGTCCCTTTATCATAGATATATCTTTAAAGAACAAGTTATGCAGGATATGGGGAAAATTAATTTCCTCATCTGCTTCAAATAAGGGTTAAGGCTAAGGTAAATTTCACTATAACTGATCTCTGTTGGGATTTAGAGCCCTTGAATGTCATAATTTTATTTCTTCCGACCGTTAAAAAAAAAAAAGCTACGAAAGAGCTTCTAGAAAAAAGTTGAAAGTAGTAGGTAGGGCCTTTTAAATGTTCTCTTATTATTTCTTCCTTACCTGTTCGATTAGATCAGTGTTTCTCAAACTTATGACTTTTGTGTACCCTTTCTAAATTTTTCTTAACGTTGTGTACCACTAATAAAAAAATGAATGTATTTTTTTAAAAAATATGTTTATTTTTCTTTTTTGGTGCAAAGTTTTGTTAATAAGTTTTTTTTGCATCAGTGAGAAGGATGGTATTGTTTTTGCCGTGATAAAAAAATTACACAAAAGTTTAGAATCGCAACTGGCTGTTGACACCACTAATTATTAACTTTTAACTCAGCAAAAAATAGCCAAAAAAAAAATACGTAATCATAAATTTTCATGGCTAGCTTTGTTTTAAAATAAATTTTTTTGACGTTTTCGTTTGTTGTAAGATATTTCGTAATTTTCATGGCTAGCTTTGTTTTTAAATAAATTTTTTTGACATTTTCGTTTGTTGTATATTTCGCATACGAACGCGTCCCCCCGCTAAACTGTTCCCGTACCCCTGGGGGTACGCTTACCACACTTTGGGAAACACTGGATTAGATAATCCACCAATAAAAATTTTCTGAATAATTTATTTATTGCCGCTTTTTTCGCATTCGCACATTTATACCTCCACTTATATAAATTCATTACCCACATTCGTATTTCGATGTACTTTTGGTGAAACGGATTTAGAAGATAAAAGGAGAAAAAACGCACTTTTATTGCGTTAAAAAAAAAAAAAAAAAACTCTACCAAATGTCCTCCCCTCCCTTTCTGTAGCTTTGACAATGTGCAATCCAATGAATGGAATCGACCTTGTTCTATGCCGATCTTTTGACGAAACGAGTTCGACACAAAAGAGGTCATTGAAAAATGCAGCTGTTGGATATACTCAAGTCTGTAGCTCTTCCTGCAAAATATTTCTGTGTGCAGGGGGTCGGACTTGTGCCATCGACCCTCCCTGCGTGGGAAGTGTTTCATGCTTTTACTTAGATTCTTCACACTTCGCATGAGATTTATGTTAAGGTATTTCCGTTGTTGTGGTTGTTAAAGAATTGAATTGGGTGTAATTATTGTCGATTGTGGTGTTTTACTTCTCGCGTACTTAAATTCTCAAATATGTTTAACTAAACTACTGTGTCAGTATAACATAATTTAGCTTAAGAATGGGATAAATCTTTCATGACAAATTCTCTTTGAACTACACTAGTAACTCATGTAGACCTAGAGTAAAGCATTAAGTTTCAAATGCCGAAATTATTATTATTTTTCAAAATACAAACTAATTATGGGAGGATTACTCAGCATTACGCAGTGAAAAAGTTGTCCTGCAAGTAATTTGCTTGCATTTTGAAATTATTTTCTTAGCATTTGAACCTTCACGGTTTATTCTATTTCAGAGTCGGTCGATGAATTGATGACTCTGGACTTTTCTGGACAGCCCGACTCCAATTTTGACTTATACTTTAATAAAAATTTTCTCTGAATCCTAGAACAAAATTAATATCACTCAGTAAATGTTAATTAAAGTAAAAGTAGGCAATTAAAAAACTAATCTGCTAGTAGTCACCCGATCGCCAGTTTTTCTTTAAAAATGCACTCCATGCGCATTTCATAATTTTTAAAAAAATAAATAAATATGGAACTATTATGAATATTTTGTAATCTGAAAACGTTATTTCACTCTTGCTTGCCATATTTCCATCAATGCATCAAAAGAAAAACATTGCATTATTAATATGAACAGCTTTTTAATTTTTTTAAATGTGGCCAATTTTTTACTCTAATTTTGCCATACATTGTTTGCTACCTTTATACCAAATTCATCTTTTATTAAATCCTCGTATTACATTATCTTATATCATATCCTCTTATATTAGTTTTTTTGTGAAAAATGTATATTTAAACTTAAAACAAAATTAAATTATACAATAAAAATGTTTATAATAAATGTTAAATATATATTTGTATCAATAAATTAGATTTGATATGATAAAAATACTAAGATTGTATTGGTGTCTTAAAACCATTGTTATCATGCATCAAGGTACAAGCAATAAACAAACTTAAAAACTTAGTAGGACTACATTGATGAATTGGATGTTATTTTCCCATGAACTACTTTTTCAGTGACATTTGTTAAATAGCTATGTGCCTTTTCAGAAAGACTTTATTTCTTACTTAGACCTAACCCTCCTCTTGACAAGTTGGCTCACTTACTAATAAGGGTGCAATACAAGTGTTATTGTTATCATTTCAAATGCGTGGAAGAAAGTGACAATACAACTCTCAGGAATGCAGCTTGTTATTTGGAAAAAAGAGGGCTCTCAATTCTGGTGATAGATTTGATAGATAAGGGTCAATTGTTGAAACTAGTAATGGGCGAATCCACCATTTTGTACCACTAGTGATATCTGGCATTAATATTCTCGTCCAAAATAAAAATAAAATCTTGTAAATGTGTATGGAAAGTAAGGCTAGGAAAGCTAGCTCATATATCAGGTAAGTAATTTAAAAAAATAGGAATTTTTTGCTGAATTAACCGTAATTAATGTCGACTACATTTGATTATGTATTTTCAGTTAATATGCTTTCAATTTAAACAACAGGTTGAAATAAAATCAATAAGCTCTTTTGCGGTTTTCAAGACTTAAATAAACTTGCTTACTCCAACGCGTTTTTTTTAATATTTTTTTTTTAAAGCTGTGAGTTGTTTTAACTCTTATATGCCGTTATGTTTTGATTAAATTATTTTTTTTACTTACTTAGCCGAAAAACTCAATTTTAATATGCTTTCAATTTAAACAACAGGTTGAAATAAAATCAATGAGCTCTTTTGCGGTTACAAGACTCAAACTTGTTTACTCCAACGCGTTTTATTTTTGTTTGTTTTGTTAAGCTGTGAGTTGTTTTAACTCTTATATGCCGTTATGTTTTGATAAAAAAAATTTTTTTTACTTACTTAGGCGAAAAATAAAATTTTTTGGTATATGATAAAAACGATAGAGCTGTTGAATTAAATTGAGAAGAATTCAATAGAAATTAGAGTTATCAATTTAAATAGAGCTATCGAAATAATTACCCCTCACACTGATTTTTTTTATCACCATAATAACCGTAGCTTGAACCATAATTTGGGGCTGCAATTGTTTTATGCTGTTTGCAATTGTTGCTTATTAAATTGAACCTTATTCTGTTGATGTCTAGCCATAATATCATGTAATTAAATTTATGATGATTTAATTTGCGCGACAATATAGTTCAAGATGGACTTATTAACTGATTAAGGTGGCAGCAAATTTTCATCATGTTGTGCGTTCGACTCGCTCCTGTCCGTTCGCTCAAATATCACTGAAAACAACGAAATGCAATCAGCTATTTATTTATTATTAATATGTTTACGTTTAGTTTTAAGTTTCAAAACGAAAACAAATTTTGATAAACGATGACTTGAAAAACAATACATTAAAATTAAATTCTCGATAATATTATGATTTTCTAAATTTTGTTTTCTATTTCACAATTTTTTGTTGAATTTAATTCACAGCTAATGAGGAAAATCAAAATAAACTATTTCATTGAAAATCGACATCGGATTAACTTAGAAATACGCTTTCTCTTCTTTTCATTGTGACTTCTAACTATATCTTTTTTAAAGTTCCTACTATTCTAAAATAAGCTCATCATTAAGTTATAAAATAAAATATGTATCAGATTATATTCTAGTTAAATTTAAGTTTGCCGAAATAGTTATTTGAATCTATAATAAATGGTCTTTTTAAGTTCGTTACTTTCTTTTCTAAGAATATCTGCTATCCAAGTTCGATGAAAATTTTTAAATGTAGAAAGTAATCGAGGATCGTTTTACTTAGAAATAATATTCTTCGTTTCACTCATTTAATAATTTGTTCTTGTTTAAAGGGAACCGCTTTTCAGAAATCCGCTCTTTTTGAGTAATTATATTATTGTCTTTTATTTAACTGCGCTATAAATCCTTAGTTGTTTGAATTTTCTAATAATATATCTTGATCTGAAACATTGTAATTCTTCCGAAATTAGAATAGATTGTTATTTCCGTTTTGTTTATAAATATTAATTTATTCTTTATAATGTTTTTAGAGTAACAAACATGCGCATGACAATCTTTATTTCTGTTTCAAAAAATTGGTTTAATTTAAATTAAGCAGCAACAGTATTCTTTTTGAAAAGCATTTTTATTTCAAAACATATTTAAGAGCCGTGGTAGTTCAGGGGATAGAGTGTTCACTTTCCAATGACGGGGGCTCGAAACCCAGCGATGGTTGGTTGAAATAAATTCTGCACGCAACTCGCGCCAACCACAGTGCTGACGTAAAATATCCTCAGTGTTAGACGGATCATTGGTTAGAGTCCCATTACCGTCAGGCTAACCGAGGGAGGTTTTCGTGGTTTCCCTCTCCATGTAACACAAACGCGGGTTGGTTCCATTAAAAAGTCTTCCACGAAGGGAAAATTTCTCCCAATGCTTGGTCTTGTCTCCTGGATTAGGTTCAAAATTACAAGGCTACGGAGTTGAACATTAGTAGTCGTAAACCCGAACAATTGGGTCGGCTGTTCAACGACGGTTATTAAATAAAATAAAAAACATATTTAAGAAACACGTATTTAAAAAATGCAAATTTTTAAATTTATAAAATTTATATATTTTGAATTATATTTAAAATCATTAAAAATCGAAATTATATCAAGTTAAACGCTTGTATGATCGTTAGTGTATGACTAATTTAAAATCGTTCACATGCATTACACATTAATATTTTTTAAAATTAAGATAAATAGTTTTATTACCAATTTAATAATCAATATTTCAAGAAAGAAAAGTTACGCCATTTATCATCAATGTCTAAAGTTTGAAAGCTAAATTACTGAGTTTGTAAATGCTGATACAAACATTTCAGAAACGCGTTGTTTAGTGTCAAAAATAAATTATTAGCGCGTAAGCTTAGAAAAAAATATTTGGTAAGTAATTGGCAGTTGCATGTTAAGTATGTGTCATTAAAAAAAATATTATTTGTTATTCTGCAATTTTACTCCTCCATAAGTAATTAAAATTGTTTTCGAGAGTGGGAATTTTTATCCACGAGCGAACAGATTTTACTTTTTATTTTGTCGATGTATCGTGAAATTGCGGTTTTGATTTATATTTCTCATCATCAAATTTTAGTCAATTGCAATGTAGCTACATTCAACTATCAACCCAGGCTATTTCGTAATATTGTGATTTATATGATCTACTGGAAAGGACTCTTAAGAGAAATTAAGTAAAATTACGCTATATCGGTGCGTGAAGTTTAATTTTTGAGGAAGAAAACAAACAATACGTGAAAAAGTTGAATTTACATATTAAAATCATTAAGCATTGATTGGAAAAAGATTTTTAAAAAAAAATCACGCAAAAGTAAATGAGGCAATGTATAAGGGTCCTCAACACGTTTTTTCTTTATTTTTTAGACTAAATCGCATTATACATGTCATGCTGGCTGTTGTTAATTACTGGCTATTATTAATAATAACTAGTATTAATTAAAACAGGCTATTATTACTATCTAGTATTAATAGCAATCGACTATAATAATAATCGCCGGATATTATTAATATTAACCAACTAATTGCATTGATCATAACATGTATGCATATAATAAAATGTATACATAATTCTAACGGTTAAAGTAATTAATGTGGCTAATATTAATAATTACTGGCTGTTATTAATAACTAGTATTAATATTAACTGGATGTCATTAATAATAATCGGCGATTATTAATATTAACCGATTAATTATATTGATCATAACATATATATATATATATATATATATATCTGACCACCTTAATCTATTTTAAGCATATACATTTTTTCAAGTGTTTTTGCACTTAAAATCCATTAACTCTTTAACTGTGTTATATTTTAAGATAATTGCTTGCAACTGTCATTATTTTATCTAGTTGTTAATTTATCTTTCTTGAGTTAAACTGCTTATCTTTCGTCTTCTTTCGTTAAAAAAAAAAAAAAAAAAAAATCGAGTCAAAATTTTTAAAACCTTATCTGCGCTTCTTCTTTCTGTTAATTTAAACATCTATGCACGACCTTGAATTAACTTTCACTTTATTTTCTGCATTAAACAGAGCGTTACTAAGAGGACGTAAATATCAAAACCAATGTAATTAAACCAAATATCTAACCACTTGTGAAATTCAATATTGAAAAAATACGGAGTTTTTGCAGCTTGTAAAAGAAAGTGATAGACTGGTAGCAGTTGCTTATTTTCTTAGATGCTTTTACCTTACCTCGTTTTATCATTGTTTTAAATTACTTAAAATTGTTTTTAACATTTTTAGTTGCTTCATATCTGAGATAGCAAGTTTCTTCCATAGTTGTAAAAAAAAAAAAAAATCGATGAAAAAAAAATGAAAAAAATCGCCTAGGAAGAAATAGCTTTTTCTCAACCCAAGTTAAAGAAATGGAAGAAACCTTTCTCAAAAATAAATTTTATATTCTAATGCGATATTTTTAAAACTGTTCATGACTGCATTTCTAATTTAGTTTAATTCGTAGCATTAATTTACAAACTGTTTATTTTATAAAAATTTAACCAATTGAGAAAAATATTAACAAAATAATATTTTTTAAAAGAAAGTATTTGTCATAGTAATCAAAATGTAAACACAAAATATCTATCTGTATCCAATTATAAACTAAGTATCGAATTTTTAAAAAAAGAGAAAATGCAATAAACTAAAAAATGACTAAGTACACATTATTTAGCTATATAAAAGTTTATTTATTTTGTTTAGGAAAGCAAAGGTAACATAAATCCCGTATAAAAATAAATTGATATAATAGGGGTTTTAGTTTTAAAGTTCTTGGTGTAACTAAAAGAAATAATATGAATACAGATCCTTTTAAAAAAAATTTATAAATTTTTACATAGAATTTTATTTAAGTTTAAATTATTATAATTATTGTCTTAATTGTAGTGGTCATTTTTAGTTCCTTCCCTTTTGTTCAGTTTCTTTAATTTTTCCGGTTTTTTCCAGTTTCCAGGAATTAACTTTTCAAAAAAAATTTAAACCCTGTGTCATATTTTTACTTTATGTTATAACCGACGTTGAACAGCGGGGTTTTCGACTACTAATGTTCAACTCCGTAGCCTTGTAATTTTGAGCCAATCCAGAAGACAAGGAAATTCCAGGATCAGTACCCCCAGAGGTACGATTGGTTATGGGAACATGGTGGACTTAGTGACTCGACAGATTTAACGTGCATCAGTCACGAAAGGGGTTCTCAAACCATTCCCATGATCTGAAGCTTGGTGGACTTTAAAGCATCATTGAGAATCGAACACAATGCCTTAACCTTATTACCAAGCTATAAGACAAAACGGGGCATTGAACTTAAAGTATAGAAATTAATGCCAAATTCCATTGTTTAAAATATCGAGCATTAAATAAATGGAAACAGT